CCAATTTTAAGTGTATAATTTAGTGACATTGATTATATTCTCCATGTTGTGCAATCATCACCACTATCCATTCCCAGGTGTTTCTCATCTCCCTAAATAGAAACTCAGTACCCCTTAAGTAATAGCTCCCCATTTTCCCCAGGCCCTGGTAATCACTTACAAACTTTGGTCCCCATGCATTTTCTAGTCTACATGATTTCTTGTAAGTCTAATCATAACAGTATTTGTACTTTCATGACTGACTGACTTCATTCAGCACAATGTTTTCAAAGTTCATCTCTTTCATAGTATGTATCAGAACTTTTCTCTTAATGAACAAATACAGTTTCATTGGATGTATATGCCACATTTTCTTCATCCATTCATCTGCTGACAGACGTCAAAGTTGTTCTGTCTTTTGGCTGTTGTGGATAGTGCTGCAACGAACACTGGTGCACAAGGATCTGTCTTTTGGGTATATTACCTGGAGTCCCTGGGTGGCACAAACCATTAAGTGTTCAACTACTAACCAGCAGGTTGGTGGTTCAGAGCCATCCAGATGCACCTTGGAGGGAAAGCCTGATGATTTGCTTCTGGAAAGTCATAGCCTTGAAAGCCCTATGGAGTGTGGTTCTACTCTGACGTATGTGGGCTTGCCATGAGTTGGAATCGACTCCATGGCAACTGGTTTGTTTGTTTGTTTGTTTGTTTGTGATATGTACCTAGGAGTTATGCCAAGTTCTTTTTATATGCATTTAGGCCTTAAAATAACTCTGAGGTGAATGCTACGTCTGCTTTACAGATGAGAAAATGCAGGAAACAGAGGCTCAGAGAGAGTAAGTTACAGTGACACAGCTACTGACTGGCAAAGGTGGAACTCAGACCCTGGACTCTTTGATCTCAAAGCCCACATTCTTCTTCAGCTATGCCACACTGTCTTTCACTCTCCTTAAAACCTGTTCCCATCAAGTTGATCCGACTCACAGCAACCCTATAGGACAGAGTAGAATTACCCTATAGGGCTTCCAAGGCTATAAGTCTTTACAGAAGCAGATTGCCTCATCTTTCTCCTGTGGAGCCGCTGATGGGTTTGAGCTGCTGGCCTTTTGCTTAGCAGCCCAACCCTTTAACCACAGCACCACCAGAGATTTTGTGCGGTTTCAAACCGGGGACCTTTGTAAGGTGAACATGATAACTACTGCACTGTGAAAACCAGGTACCGCTCTCCTTATGTATAGCTATTTCATTGTGATGCAGTGTATTGATGAGGAGTGGAGCCAGAGAGAGTGCCTGAGTTTGAATCCTGGGCCCACCACTTCCCTGCTGTATGATATTGGTCAAGTTACTGAATTTCTCAGGCCCCTCAGTTCCCTCATCTGTAAAATGAGGCAATAATAATGCTTACTCATTGGGTGGTTATGAAAATGTCATGAAATGAGATGCCCAAAATAGGCAAACCTATAGAGACAGAAAGTTGATTAGTGGTTGCCTAGGGCTGGGGAGGGTGGGAGAGTGACTGCGAATAGGTACAGGGTTTCTTTTGGGGGTGTTGGAAATGTTCTGGAATTAGTGGTGATGGCTGTATGACTCTCTGAATATACTAAAAATGACTGAATGATACACTTAAATAAGTGAATTGTATGGTATATATTAATAACTTAGATCTCAGTAAAACTTGTTACCAAAAATAAAGATTAAGTGAGGTTATGTTTATAAATGCTTAAAATAGTGCCTGGCACATAGTAAATGCTCAGTAAGTATTGGCTGCTGTTGTTACTATTATTACAAACAAAACAGATGTGGTTCCTGGTCAAGGAGCATATGTCTGTGGATGCCTCAAAGAGAGG